AACAAATATAACACTAGCTGGGTTAAATAACAGAAACTTATTTTCTCATAGTTCTGAAGACTAGAAGTCCAAGATTGAGGTACCAGCAGAATATTATCTTCTTGCTGTGTCTTCACCTGAACTTTCTTTAGTAAACCTATATGCCAAGGGTCTCCTCCTCTGTTTTACAAGGATACTAGGCCTGTTGGAATAAGTGCTTAACCTATTACTTTATGTAATCTCACTTCCTTAAAGGTTCTACCTCCAAATACAATGACATTAGGTATATGTCCATTTTTTGGCTCAGATACCTGAGCCAGATACTTCATAACAAGAATCAGTTTAGCACACTTTGTGTGCATCCGAAAATCTAAACAGCAGGGCTCCAGCTCTGGTGAGGGTCTTCTTAGATGTAGCCCATCATGGCAGGTGGCACCATGGAGGGAGCCACACAAGAGGGAGAGACTACACACTGAGCAGGAGATTGGAGCAAGACAGTAGGACCCAGCCATGACCTCTCACTAGTTCCCAGAGAACCAACACGAGCACCAAGGGACAAACCACATCCAACCGTAGTAAGTGGTTAGATCTTCAACCTGTGAATTTGGAGGGACCCAGTTCAGTCCACAGCAAGACCAGAAATCAGATTGAACAGATGAATGGTAGAGAAAGAAGCAGGAAGTGGACCCAGTGTTTTTCGGAGAAGTTTCATAGTACAGGGGAGGACGGAGGTTGTCTCTGTTTTTATTAGTATTAAAAGCATGTGTCAGTTTCTGCTCTAGAGTCTTGAATCACGACTTCCATTTTGCTCACTATCTCTATGGTTATCTGGGAAATTATTTCTATTTTGAATTTTTCTAGAGCCTGATTGATCTGTTTTGTGAGAGAGAAGCAATTTAAATATGTTCAGGGACCATTTTCATCTCCAGAATTAAGGATTATTTTAATGTTACATCATTGCCTTTTCTCTTTTACTTTCCTTTTTAGTTTTATTTTAGGATTCCCTATTTTTAATGTTCATACAGAGATTTCTTTAACTGAAATAC